TTGTCAGGAATATGTACACTGTAGTGTGTTTTGTTGCTCTTTTAGTATTTTATTTATTGGTAAATTCCATTTATTCTTATTACTGTCTGTGGAAGCCAGCATGAGCTAGTGCATTTTTGACTTAACATTCCTTGAAGGAATCCATATCACCTCCATTTTTCATGCCAAGATTTTAAACTTAGATCATTTTATTTTGAGATTTGATGGAGTTTTGACTGTTTTGGTCCAACCTTCAAAGTAGCTTAATCCACAGTTTTAAATGATACAGTATCTGTTAGCTCTTGGAGTATGTGTTGTGAATGACTGACTTGAAGCTACTACCACAGCACATTGTAGCTCCAAATCGATAAAATTCAGAGTTACAGCCATTTTTGTATTTTATAGAATCAGTTGGCTGAGGTAGCCATCTTGAATTTAAATCATTTCAAATGGTAATCTGTAGATGTACAGCCATTGATTACTTTCTGAGAGTTTTAATGGAATCATCTCAGTGTTTGTTTGTTTTTTTTTGTTGTTGTTTTTTGCTAACAGACAAAAAGAGTTGATTCCAGTCTCGCAAAGATAAGATGCAATGTGTTGTACTCAGATGTTTGGGTAAATCATCATGAACTGCCAACAAATTTTACTCAATATCTATAAAACTGGCTAAGGTACATCTTTTTATGTTTTCTATGACACTTTGGCTGAGTCAGCCACCTTAAACTGGGTTGAATGCAAACATTAATTTGTAAATGAATGTGAAATTATTATATTTTGAGAGTTTCATTAAAACCATTCAGTGGTTCATGAAGCATTTTGATAACAAACAAAAACAGTTTATTCAAACGGTTAATGGCCAAGTTTTGGGCATGTTTCTTGCGTGTTCTGTCTGCGCTCAGAGTGTAAGTTGGGAATGATTTTGGGGGTTGACTCCAAAACTTCACCAGATGTAGATGTCAACCCATTAACTTTCTGCAAGTGTCACTAAAATTGATCCAGTGAGTCATGACATATTTTGTTAATGGTACAGATAAACAAGCACGTCCACAGAGTAATACATTATCTTTCAGACTTTGCCTTCTGCCTCACAAAATAATCATACAGCTGTTGATTTTAAGCATCTGCATGTGCGTTTTGACAACTCACTGAATACTTACATCTGTGCACCTCTTAGAAATAGAACTGTGCACAAACCTTAGAACTTGTCTGGAACCTAAACTATGTCTTGTAGCAGTATATCAGTCTAAACCTGCTCTGCATGTTTATTATCAAATGTAGATATTCCTATTTTTACACCCGCAGCTATTGATCAGCGAAAACAACATTTGCTCGGCCCACCCCTTTGAGGGCCGTAGATCACCTTTCATTTATAAAGCAGGCTGCAGTCCGAGAAGCACAGCCTCATTTGTGATTGTATGGATCAATTAAATTTGATCAAGAAGCAATGAGTTGGAGAAAGAACACGAGCATCTATTTGTCTGATTGAGTGCACGCTCTGCTAAGACATTTATGTTAACCTGCGGTGCCTCTGATCAAAAACATTAGCATCTTAAAAATGCCTCGCCAGCAGCAGAAAACGCACAAAGAAAGATTGACTCAGGGCTCGACAGAGACTTGGCTCGACCCGATTGTGCTAGCTCAGAGAATGAGAAAGCGGCATCCATTTTTGCCTTAATGAAGTTACTGACCCTCTGAAAGGTGACACATTTACCGCCCAAGGGATTTATACACTCCCCGTTCTGTGGCTCCAGTTCAATATGGAGAGGACAGATTTGACTCCACAGGGGCCTTCCAAATATACCCTCACAATTTACACCACGTGACTCACTCTCAGACGCCGCTCAGATAATTAAAGCTGACGCGCAGACATTTAATCAGATACTTGCAGCACAAACTTGAACGAGAAAGGTGGACCAGCTTGTATGGCTTTCGGAGGAGGGGACTGGTGTTAATAACACAACCAGAATTTTCACTTTTGTTTTTTATTGAAAGCTGCAAAGCAAACAAGATTTTTTTTTTTTTTTTCAGACACCTGTGGAGAATTACAGCGTATATAAACATGTGCAGGAAGGAAATAGTCCTCATTGTGTGGTGTGGTCTAAAAATGCTTAATTATTCATAAGAGTCTCACTTATGCAAATACACTAAATAATTTCTACATGACAGCCCGAAGCTGAGACCTGGAGGAGGGATGTGATGTTTGAATGAGGTTCTCTCTTTCCTTTCCATGGCCTCAGAAACATAACACCGCAGGCTCTGGGTTGCCGTGGTGCATACTGTTTTACATTCTAATTATCTGCCATGACAGGCTTTATTGCCAAGTCTCTATACTGAGGCCTCGCCCCAGACTCATTCCACATATGATGTCAGTTTAATGAGATAAGAACGTTAGAGTCTTTAGCCTCGCACATTCACCTTTTTATTTGGTTTTCAGGGTTTTTTCTTTCTTTCTCATGCTGGAAACATAAAAGCTGGTGCAGTGCGTAATAAATGTACCTTCAAGTGTTTGTTTAATATTGATTTCCCTTCTTCCTCTTTATTTGAGTTTTAAACCAAATCATTCTTTTTGCCTCCGCTGATCGTTCCATGCGCAAGACCAATAGGACGATGTCATTTCTTACTTTGAGTTTTTCCGTATTTCACCAGATTTCGTTCGGATTCTTGAGGAATCCAAAGGGCGCTGACAGTGATTAAAATAAACAGTGCTCTGTTAAAGACGTTCATTAAATATTTAACACCGTACAGCCAATCTGAGCCACAAACAGCGAGACATATTTTTTCAAACTCTAATTAAGCTACAGGGAATTCATTGCACATTGTAGGTAAACAGACCGAGCCAAGGGAATACCAATGGAAATTAAATGCTCTGCTGGTGTTTTTCTCATTACAAGATGAAATGAAACATTTATAACTGACTTTCATTTCTCTAAAAGGCTGACATTTTGTGGGTCAGCCTCTGATAAGGCAACAACTTTCCCCCCCATGTTTACATTATGATTCATGAGTTCATTCAGTGCTTTGACTTCAGTAAAATCACTGAATCTAAACGCACTCTGTAAGTTCTGATTTATTGCATTAACTGTTCTTTCTTTTTTTTTTCCACCTCTCGTTTTTACAGCTATCGAGGTGAACCTGCAAAAAGCCCTGGCTGAAGCCTCTGAGACCTGCACCCAGGAGTGTCTTATACTGGGCCACTCTGACAGCTGCTGGATGCCCCCGAGCTTGGCCCAGTTCCAGAGTCCTGGCAGCAACAGCCCCGCCTCCACTCCCACTGCCACCACCATCACCACTACGCTCCCCTCCTTTGGCTTCCAGCAGAGCTGCTCGCAGGGAGTTAAAGCCAACATGGGGGTCATGGATGGCCGCCACACGCTGGGTAGGTCCGTGCCCAAAAAAGACGAACTGGACAAAGGCTTCAACCGGCCACAGTTCTACAACACCCTGGATAGACACTGCAGCAATAAGAAGGAGGACCCGGTCAAGGTCATCCCTCTGGCAAGCTTCTCCTCGCCCGGGCAGCACACACCCACCGGTGGTGGCAGCAGCGCTTTCTTACACGAGCACCAGTTGTAATTCTAAAAGACAGCTTGTCACTGGCCTGACATACAGTAGATATAACGCTCCACCCAGAGATGGCTCATGACTTCATGATTGGTATACATGTGGGAATATGCATCACTTAAACAACTTTTTATCAGCTATTTTAATAGCTCAAGCTCTGTTTTACCAATGAAGACACATTGGAATGAATGAGACCGGGACAATGTTATTAGACAAAATCAGATGGAATCAGAGGGACTGCTCAGACGGAGTTTATATTCTTTGAAGTGGAGTTTACAAAAAGGGTTATGAACAATTAATAACTTGTTGTAGACATTTTTTTTTTTTTTTTTTTGAACAACCTCAGTTTGGGGGAAAAATAATCAACTTTAATGACGACTAGGCTGATGAGCAAATGGTTAGTTCAGGCAGGTTTATAAAATAATGTTTGCATAAACCAATAACATTTAGAGATTGCAGATGTTTTAAGATGGCAACAATCTGCATAGACTAGTTTGGAATAAATTTTGAGTGATCAAAATTGAAGACATTAAAATGTCTACAGCACGTACATCATAACGTTTCCACAAAACCTCACTTCAAAAGATCTAAACTACTGCTTTAAGCGTTTAAAATGAAATGTGACCTGTGTATAGTAAAAAAGAGTAGTTCTATACCAAAGTAGATGCATTACAGGAAAAAATAAATAAATAAATGCTCTCTGTTTGATGTCTGCTTAGTGTTAAGCAAAGGGCACTGTACACTTTAAGCTTAACGGGCCTAGCTTGCTAAGACTGCGTTCTAAAAGATCATTCCCTGGCACAGAAACAAATGCAAATGCTGTACTTTGCGTTATGAGTGAGCTAAACTGGGCTAAATGTTAATTATGAGCTCTGGGCTGGTGCTGTTTCAGTTCAAGTTCTAGTGAAGCATTGCTCTTTAAAACAAGTGTAACATACTCCTTTGGCATTGAACGATGTTTTTGCCTGAACGTGCTTCAGAAGTCTATTTTGGTCAGGGAACTAGAGAAGGGTTAAAAAAAAATGGATAAGAAGAACATCTACAAAGCAAAACTAGGCCAATAGTAGACAGCAACACATCTTTATCTTTTGCACTCTCCATTTTCATCACGGACCAGTACACAAAACAAATTCCCAAAATAACCCAAACGCTCGCTCCTGCACACATGCATACTCATGATGTTTTTCCATATGGTGATTGCTCACACCCTGCCAACTCTATTAGGAAAATCTTCACTCCTTGCATTATCTCTGTAGTTTAGTCCTGAAAAGCATAGACAGATGTGTTTTTTGAAATGTAGCTTTTGTTTTCTCTCTGATTTTTCTGTTTGATTTTAACTGATGCTTAGAAAATCTTCAGTAATTGAGCCAGTTGTGAAATTCTCCTAACAGTAGCTAACCTTTTATGTGTTTAGAAACTATACTCGGAGTCTATTGCTAATAAAATAAAACATCACTAAATATATAAATGCATAGAAAAGACAACACTGCTTTTGTTCTTAATGTGTTATTAACACTTCTCTTCCTGCTATTAATACTTATTCCGTGCTTCAAACAGCTCTTACTGTGGGTTGCAAAGTCTTCTACTTTCTAAAGCATCCCGAGTCTGACTGAATTATCCTTGTTTCTGTTATTTTTTTGCACCAATCGTTAGAACAAACATTGGGAATATTTGAGAGTCCCTTCACATGAAATGAAAACAGCGCCACTGCCACAAAATGCAAATTCTTCTGATGATAATAACCACTTCAGACTTGCTTGCCTTTGCAACAGATTGGGCGCAGTGTAATGCATTGCCACAACAATAGGTGACTTTGCTGATATCCATTTTTCTTTCTTGCTACATCTAAGCCAAGTGTCTACATCATCAGGTATATGAGTCATGAGATTCATTTTCTTGCACCATCTTGCAAATTGGGAACAGACCTAGATCTATAATGCAACGTGGGATTCCCGAGGGAAGGCGCGGGGCAAATTGTATTTGTATGCTCTTAGCTATTCTATTCTCTCGCATAATGCCTTTTAACTGTATAAAAGGGGATTTATCTGATATTCACTGAAATTATCTGCTAAAGGAGCAACATGTCAAGGACAAAGATAGGGCAGTTCAATTTCACCTCCGTCACTTATGAAAATGAGCTGGATTCAAAACAGGCAACTTAAATAAACCCGCATATAAACATCCGTTTAATAAAAACTGTCTCGTTTGAAAATCCCATTTCAGCTCATTTACTAATTCTTTCAGCCCCCACTCCCACAGCACCTCCACCCTCTCTCTTCCCTTACTTGTCATCTCCTTTCATAGTTTTAGGACATGAAGTGGTGTGCACGATACATTTTTAATCAAAAGGAGTACATATCAAAGGGAACATACATCACATTGTCAGAGAAAATTGGAGTTTCATCACTTTGCCAAATGCAGATTCAACTTTTCACATCCAACACTTGTATGTGGTCCTAAAGTTGTCTAGAATCCACAGGAATATTCTCGACCCGCAAAAAAGCAGGGCATGGACATCTGTTAAATATCCCTAAGAAAGAATAAAATTAGACATAAGAATTAATGACAAATTATGACCTTAATTACCTCCTCTGAGTAACATAGACGTAATTATGTGTGGACTTTGTATAGAATGATACACACTATTGCACTGTATTCAAAATGGGATTGTTTAATCTACAACCAGGCACAAGTGTACAGTATGCACTGTATTACTCCTCTTTTGTGTTCCAGTGTACCTACATTAACTCCTTTATGCTGCAGAAATACAACTTTAAGAGGGAATTTTAAAATACCCGCATGAATGTTCACCACTAGCATGTGGCTTTTGATCTGATTTATCTTTATTTATTCATGAAAACCGAGTTTACATTTCTCAACTCGTTTCAGAGGTGAACATAGAGATGTATTATTTGTTCATTTTTAGAACAGCATACATATCATTTGAATGTCCGCTCTTATTGTTTTCTGATGAAAGGTTGCTCAGACTAGCTACTTTAATTGTGTCACGATGATTACGTCTCGTGGGTTATTGAAAAAGAAAGCTGTTAAGTGTTCCCTTGTCATGCTATCTTTCTTTGATTTCTTCTGCGCCATTCAAAGAAACTAGCACATGCTTTAAACATGCTTTTTTGTTCTCCTTTTGTTAAAAAACCTCTTTGTTGGAAATGAGTGTGATGATCACAACTCAATGTACTTTTGCATGAACCGTTCGGACTTTGACGAGCCATTTTGACACTGGACTATGTTTCAAACATCCACATTGATCAAATGACGTCAGTGTTGAGATTTACTTCTTTACATTTGTCTAATGGAACAAAACAAATTCTATCCAGTATACACATTCAAACATTGTGAAGTGTCCGTATCATCTGAACCGCCTCTCATGCACCAATATCAATTATCTATATCATCAGGTAATCTGGATTTTAAACTGTATATAGCAGTACCCCTAAGAAATGGTGAAACATTTTGAAAGACACAGCTTGAGTACTGGAATACACAATGTTCACAATGTGCAAAAAGGAAAAAAAAAAAAACATAAGAAGTGATGAGATGACAATCTCTGTTGTAATGTAAATGAATACATATGCATAATACTAATGAGAGTGAATGTGTTTATAGTTGATCTTGTACATGTGCAAGAGAGAACCAGAGCGTCTCCTTGCATGTATGAGTGTGTCTGTGAGAGCGTGTGCTGGCTTGCACCTTGCCAGACAATTTTATGTACACAAATGTATCTTGTACAAATGAATATAAAACATACGATAGGAAATTTAGCTCAATGCCTGTAAATTAGTCATCAGTGAGTCAAGTTTGCTTTGAGAGAAGGCTTCAGTGCTTGCCAGCAAGTTTGTATTAAAGCTATACAGTCTGTGTTGTCATGCCTTTGTAAGGTATCCCACTTAATTCAATGAAAAAAAATGACCTTCTTATGGTAAAATGATTTTTCATGTCATTGAATTTTAATTAAACCATTAAATATTGAGACCTCAAAGGAAACACTGGTCATGTTTGTCTTTAACGGCACATTAATGTTTGATCAGAGCTTTTATTATGTTAAAAAATGTTTGATTTGACCCAATTTGTTTTTGTCAAAGATATATACCGGTATTTTTCGTTCATTCAACCTTTATTTAGACAGGTAAATCCCATTGAGCCTCAATGACTCATTTACAAGAGAGACCTGGTATGCAATACTGAATACAGCTTTCATTGAAGACATGCATATTGCCCATATTCTTGCATACCAAAGTTTTAAACAAATTATTCTGATGTTTTATTAGTTCTTAGCTATTATCACACCACAGTTTAGCTTGATATCTGTAATGTTAGGTAAGCTAGGCTTACTTAGCTGTGATGGCCATTAGAACTGGATTGATTTAAAAAGTTATTCAGTTACAAATGTACTTCAAAATGCTTACTGAAAATCCAACAAAGTTAAGTCAGTTCCTCTGGATGGTTTCTTTTTGTTGAAACATTTCTTCTTGCATCCAAAAGACTTCATCAGTCCGTGGAGCCACAACAAACTCAGTCTTATAATAGGACCATCACATAGTGGGTCAGCCAGTTTGATGGTCGACTCCTCTGAGGCAGTCATGGCCAAAGTGGTTCAAAATATCAAAATCTCCAGAAACCATCCCTCAAAGATTCATCTTTGCTCAGGGGGGCAGTTGCGTTGGCTTTTCCCATGTGGAAGTAAACATTGAAAAGCTAAAAAATAATACAGACTCAAAACAAGCTTTTTTCTGGAGAGCATGCGCACGTCAACCGTGCAGTTGCTGCGTAACATGGCAAAAGTATTCCAAAGTAATACTTTGGAATGACTCTCGACTTTTACATAGCATGCCTTAGCTCAATATTTGTAAAACATAAAATAAAATAAAATAAAAAGACTGAGTTTGTGCTACGTGTTGTTGACTCCAAACTTTCACAATGGTGAGCAGTAATAATTAAATTCCACCTCACGGGACTCTAATTTTCTTTTATTTTACATTTGGTGAAGTTGACATTAGCAAAACTTCAAATGTTTTCTAAAAATTACATTAAAAATTGTTTCAGCGCCATAGCTGATAGTGTATATACTTTTATTGTGTGTATATTGACTGGTTCTCCAAATAGCAGCCTACGATGAAACTATGTTTGGAGCAACAACAAGTCCCCAACACATCCATCCATCCATCCATCCATTATCTTCTGATTGTTCTGAAGTTAGGTCATGGGGGCAGCAGCTTGAG